ACGAGAGATTCAGCTGGGTTCCCGGTGAGTCTCTCGAAAGAACCAAATTAGTTTGCAGATGAGTGTATATTCGCTAGTGTTCCTGGTTCTTAATGCCATCTTAATACCGTGAACCCGAGTCTGGATAGTCACGTGATAATCTGATGCGCTTGGTCAAACCAGAAAGCCAATGAACGTGCGAATTGATCGATCGATCGATTGAACACTGACGAGTACAGGCGTGTCATGTGCAGCCGAAAACGGGCTGTTTATGAAGCTCACATGGAACGTGACGGGCCAAAAACGGGCTGTTTATGAAGCTCACATGGAACGTCCTAGACGGGCCAAAAAGTGATGGTAAAAACAGAACTCATCTGCCAAGAGCAAGTGAAGAACAGCCAATTAAATCTGTTTCAACGAAAACGGCTATTCCATTGCCAGTTGTGTGGTCCAGCTACGTTTGAAGCCGGTTGCCCAGCAATAAATCTACCGATTGTTACCAAACTTTTCCGTGAAGATGTGAAAGTACTCACCAAGAACGATGGCCAGCGTTTTGGTAACCTTCTTTTCTTGCCGAGCCGCCCCCTTTTCGCGCAGTGTGACGTTCACCCGATTAACGCTCGGCGTGGCAGACAGATCCGGTACCAACTCGGTCTCCTGTTTGTCGCCTGCGTTTGTGGACTGACGATTTTGCAGTCGGCGTAGAATGGATGTCCTAGATCTGGTTGATTTGAAACGCAAATAAATACGGCTGCAGGTACTCTGAGTATGTGGAGATTTTGAGTAGTACACTTGTTGTCCTCCAATCCCCAAATAGTGTACAGGAAGAACCGCCAGACTGCATCGCTTCGCCCGTCGTATGCGTTCACGCAGATGTCTTCGGAAGGCATCCATATCACTAAAAACTTGGGGAGAACATCCTNGCCGACGATGATCGAAGATTCTCCCTGGGACCATCAATCTCTTTGGAACAAGCACTGTATGCCTGAACTTTATCTGTTAGCTGTGGGGAGAGTTCAATCACCGAAAGGTCAGTGGTATCTGGCCGTGTCAAATCATTGACAGTGACGGGAATATTTGCTATGCGCAATCGATTCTCTGACAGCGCAGAAGAATCACGTGACGTGGACGATGTGCCGGCGCATTGCATGTTTGCAACATCATTCGAATCACGATAGAGACTGTTCGGGCGCACAATCATTGTTCCGTTTGTGTGGATTTTCCTTCTCGTTCGCGAACGAATGGTGTCAAATACGCGGTAATACAGAATAATCATTACAGCACTTGGAAGGTAGAATGAGCCAAATGAGGAAGCGATAATATATTCCGGGTTGTAAAGGACACAGATGTTGTTCTGACGATGCGGCATGTTGTTCAGTCCGCAGGCGATAGGCAGAGCAATCACAAACGAGAGTATCCACGCCACTGCTATGCTGATCCCAACGCGGTAGTTGTTGCTGTGTTTGGAGTAGAAGATTGGTTTTGTAACGGCCACATATCTGTGAAAAGGCAAAAACAAAAGTGCACTGGAATTACTGGCAGCAACAGACAGGGCGAGATCTGGGTCAATGTAGTATCGGTATTTTCCTCAGCTTAGTTCTCGGTCAGACCTCCCAAGCTTACTGGCAGCAACAGACAGGGCGAGATCTGGGTCAATGTAGTATCGGTATTTTCCTCAGCTTAGTTCTCGGTCAGAGTCTCCCAAGCTAGCGTTCACGTCAAAACAACCGCCAAAGTTGCACAAGGTCTATTAATGCCCAAAACGAAGTCAAGAACAGTTGTACAGCGCTTCGTATAAACAGCGTAAGCGCTTATAACCTTCTGGAAGTTCTGACGCGTTCTGGATGCGGCATTAGCAACCGGCATTTGGCCAATACTGGGTCACGATTGGCTGTTGGGTCCATATTTCTGACCAATCAGATCACGTCTTGATGCCGGACCGGCAAGTGTCCTGAATTCTTGGCCAATCTCGTGCGGGTCAGGCTTACCGGCCGTAGCAGCGCCTAAAGACGTGCGGCAAAGTGGGATCCGTGTGGATTCTGTCTAACAGTCAATGCATCGAACTGTTGCCCCTAGTGGCTCGGGTATGCCTACTGGTTTTTCAATCAGGTGACTGTTGATGTGGGTGTGCAGCTTGATCGTCGTCCTACGCATATGTTGCTGTCAGCCGAGGAGATATCACTAGTTTTGCGTGAAGAAGTGGAAAACACAGAGAGAGGGACAGGACTGAAATCAGTCTGCGTCTATGCACTCAAGATCGACAAACTGCTTCCCCACTGGAAGTGATCTCCGACTGTTTTCTACAGAGCTCTTGTTGATGGCAATCTTGGGGGTTGTGACTCATCTGAATATACATATATTAGCCCTTGAAAAAGTGCACTTCACACTTGCGTAGGTCAAATGTTTTGAAGACATTAGGTGTTGGAGAAGGGGAACCTGGCAGCTTCATGAAAGTAAATTGTTCTGCGGAGAGCACAGTCCTTGAAAGATGCAAAATCAATGACTTTTTGTACTACTATTCATCTGAGTATCGACCTATCAAGGTTAGGTTTTTGACAAGCGGAAATCCAAATTCCGCTTTGAAGAAACAGACACTCTTACACCAGTTGTTGAGTTCACGGGAAATGCATGTTCATGCCTAACCCCAGAACGACCTAATCTTGATGATGGTGACGGACTTTCCTCGGTTGAATGAAGTTCACGCCGTGGTTTTTGTTTTTAGAAAGAAGCAACTTTATGGCGTCACTCAACGATGGTCAATTTGTCAATCCAGTAGCAAAGCCAATGCTTCTGCCTGTCAGTCTACAGTGAGACTGTCTTCAACTATTTGACCACTAGATTATCGAATTTCTTGAGGGTATCATCCAGTTTTTTCAAAAAAAGCTAACAGCGCATGAGAATGCGTCTTCGCCAACTTTACTGTTGTTCTGAAACCGACCGTCCAGGTGATGAGCGTGTTTTGAAACCCCGTGAAATACTACTTGATACATCTAAGGGAGCGTAGTCGATTAGAATATGAGCCATCCAGATCTACCGTTCGCAAGCAACGGCGTTCCTTTGGACGTCACAGTGCCTTCAGAAATATATATGGTGGGTGTGGGGGCACCCCAGTGGTTTAGGATCGAACTCAGTGACCGGAAGGTCTGTGGTTCGAACCCAACATTGATATCTAGACTGCCCTTGTGCTTCCTTCGGGCGATATGGGGGCCGAACGCCGCTGCAGCTGAAAGATTACTATCACTCTCATGCTTAAGACTATTGATTCGTTCGAACACACTATAGGTGAGTTCAGCAATCAGTCAGCACAAGATATTCGTGTGAAAGAAGAGTTATTGGGCAAGTGCGTAACCAACATCTCTACTGCATTTTGCATGGGTTCCTGCGGATTGGAGGATTAGAATACTGCTCGAATAAAGTGTCTGAACTCTCCCGCAGTGAGAGCTCTGAAAACTATGGGTGTTGATCTTACCAACCAAGCTGGAACCAAATGCCGAGACATACGTATTGTCATGTGCATGCTTCAAGAACCACCTGCGTTTCACTGAAAAGGGTGAAACATATAGACACATTAAAATCGTTCATCAAGGTGGCGAGCAGTTCTCATAGTTCTTGTGTGTAGAGATCAGCTAGCAGCCTACTCGACAAAATGTCAAATGTGTAGGACACGTTGAAACAAATAGTCAGTCCACCATTACCATGTACAGACTCTGAACAGCAGTCGACGATCTGTCCTTAATTTTCAGCTGAAATTACATCCTCCAAACCCAGCAGTTTCGGTCGCTACGGAACTCCAGGGAGATATGGCCAGAATCTAACCAATACAGCTGCAATTTGAATTTGAATTTTGAAGTTGAAGAGGTTTTCTCGGTAAACTGAAGAATGACAGTTTGGTTCAAGTAGAACATAAGGATGATGGGACAGTCGCGGACCGAGCCTACCTGATGAGCCCCGGTAAAGCCGGCAGTGAATGGGCTATCGAGGAACTTTCAACAAACTTATGTGTAGTGTTTTACGTCTAGGTCACAAGCTGTTCAGAGGCAAAACATAGATGCTTGAAGAACACAGCGATCTCGAAGGGAACTTACCGATCGATACTGATCGCGGCCAGGTTCAGAATGGACGCCGTACACAACATAACGTCAAACATTATGAACACGTCACAGAATATTGTGTCATATCGCCACTGACCGTGAACAAACTGCAAACAAAGGGAACAGTATAGACGGTCAGATCACATTTACAAATAGATATCTAGGTAAATATAGTACCAATTTTTTAATTCTAATTTTGTTTTCTTAAAAAATCATATGAACACAAGTTTCGATTGAAAACTTTCGCTCGCATTAATCGAAGTGTGACAGATATCGCTTTGTTCAAGTAGAACATAAGGTTGACGGAAACTCGTGGACCGCCTGATGAGCCCGAAATGGAAGGGCGAAACTGGTCGTGGGCTATCGAAGAGTTCTCAGCAACCTTGTGAGTAGTTTCCTTTATGAAAAGTTGTCGCTTTTCTTATATTGATTTTTCAGACCGGATGATCGCTCACATTATTGTATTGTTTTTTTGGACCGCACCTTAAACACGGGATACCTCTGTACGACAGAGATCTGTTCTGTTAAAACAGCCCCTATTGTATAGTTAGCCAATTACGGTGAATAATTGAACCACTGCAATGCTACATAATGTGTCAAAACCATCGTTGTGAACTCTAATAGACTAGTTCAACTATCCTGTGCTTTCGAATTTCTTGTAAAGGGGATCATTGACTAGCCTTAGTGTGCCTTTTTGCCGACCGCATGATGGCTAATGCAACCTGACTGCAATCATCTCTGTTGGTACGAGTGCATTTTTGCGGGTATTTTGACGAACGTGTCACGTGATAGGTCGCACTGAATGATAGAGCTCACCTGACTTAGTGGTTCTTATCAATCCAATCTCCCTTTTCAAGGGACGCAAAGCGAAGTTACAAGAAGAAAACAGACTACTCGCATGCCTCTCTCATCAGTAGTATCACCGTGACACGCCTTCCCCATTTAAGGGTCGTTCGCATGCCACCGGTTTTCATTCCCCTCCGTCAGGTCGACTTCGGCAGTGGGTCTACTCGGCTGTTCTTCGGGTGTATCATCCCACTTACGAATCTGTGTCCCATTTACTCTTTTCGATCCCCGACCATCTTGAATTGTATAGACGTTCCCCGGCGGTTGGTAACAACAAACGGCCCTTGCTAGCCTAGCTTCCGCTACCCCAGTCCACTCCTTCCAGGATTCTGACGATCCTTCCACTTGACCTTCGTGCCTATGGGAAGTGGTCGTGCCTTTCTACTTGCCGTTTTCTGCCCAGTCCTTTCCTGAACGGCGGTTAAGTTTTCTCGAGCTCTCCTTCTTTCCTCCTCTATCTCCTCCGGAGACAAGCGCGTTGCTGGTCCCGACCCGATTTCCTGATCAACCGGAAGGCACGGATGTCGACCGTACATCAGCATCAACAGGAACTTGCCTCTGGTTGACTGTATGGAAGGATGATGAACTAGCAACACCATTGGCAAGTTCACTTCCTAGTCACCTCCTTTGGCCGCCAGCCACTCATCATCATCATCATCGATAACACGATATCAGCGTTCATCGCCAATGTCGGTATTTGAAACTGACTGCATGAAAGCTCCCGACATCGGTCAGAAGCAGTATCTTGCAGTCTCAAACCAGCCTGTGGGTATCACGCGGACCTTATCCAGAAAGGCGAGTTGCTTCAGTGCCTAATGCCGGAAAAAACGATTCACAGAAGGGAAAACAACAGCTATATTCCGAACGAGCGACTGAGTGAGTGCGTGCGAGTGCGAGAACACAACGGTCTGAAGTTAGTTATTGGAGGGACACTGTTTGAACTTGGCCCAATGCTGACACACGCGGTCTGGTCTTGGTACAAGGCTGCAACGCGCCGCATATTGCGAAGCGATGAGCAGCGCTCAGAGGAAGGATGACTTCACTGCGTGTGTAAACCTTCCCTCTGACAAGTCATCACTTGAGCAGCTAATCAGTAGGTTACCACGTAGTGTGATTTTCGCGACTGAAGGATAGGTCTGCTATATCCTGTTTAATCTGATCAACCGCTCGTCAATGAACGACTGAGTGCCCAGTCGCTAGCTGGAAGGTCGCGGGTTCGAGCCTAGCTGGAGTTTTCTGAGATGACGATAATGATTATTATTATTATTATTATTAAGGATGAAGCAACTAGACAACGCTTCTTAGTCTTTCAGAGTGGGTCAACACCAAGTGGAATTCACCGACTTTCCTCACAGCAGTATCAAAATACATTTTCCCGTAACTTTGAAAAAAATATTCAACAGCAAGCGAATAACAGTTCTCATCAGTATTCTCAAATCCGCAAAGAGTAGTAAGATGAGCAAAACAGATAGATTACTCTGTTATCTCAATTGCACCGGTTTGATCAATTCAGCTGTCAAAATTCATTTTATTTATTGCCGAAACTGGATTCTACCCGTGACAATGAATGGCATAGTTGCGTGAAAGTGGCGTTTGCCGCACAACCGACAATGCCGGATTGTTCTAATTACTGTGAACGGATACGTGGGTCCGTGCAACGGAGTTTTCCGTAAACGTTTCAAGTGTCAAATGAACAGGTGAGTCCAACGACGAAAACAAACGAGACGTACTCGCCAAAAAGTCTGGTACGGTATGCAGCGATGGGCTGGCGACGCAAAAAAAGATCGATTCTAATTTACGGTATTGTGAGTTAAAAGTGCGTTTCTGGCCTTCTCAGATAGGAACTATTTTTCCTTGACCCCAAAGGAGACTAATGTGGGCCAGCGTGGGAAACCTTGGCTAAACCGTTTTGCTTTCGGTACGATAAATTTCTCCCCCACGTCAGTCCACCGTGACACATCGATAGACCCACTCAGCTTAGTGAATGACAAAGTCTAAACGCACGGGGTGACTTTGTACAGGTGTAATGCTTGAGATCTAGTCCCCCCTGAACGGCATCCCTTGGGAATGGCAGACGTCTCATATAGTCTGAGATCTTGCAACATGAATGATGTTTTGTGGACAAATACATTATTTATTTATTTATTTATTTGTTTGTTTTTTTGTTTTGACAGGAAACCCGACTGAATCCGGCTGATGGTCCGATCGATTCGATCATATTTACTCCACATCTTGACCTCCTCAGTGTCGTCTGAAATGCCTCTTTTCAAAGCCTTCAGTCTCCCATGATCACTTTCCATTCTGCCCAGAAAACTTTGTGGTAAACTCCACAACATTTGGCCTTTCACCACGCCTAACTAACCCTCTGTGGTTGTTCTCTTAAAAGAGAGCGTCTAATCAGTGGTGTATCCGTCAGAAAAGTGCATACCGAGGGACAATCTAAAGTCATCCTTTGAGAGGAATATTATCTGGAGGTGGGGGTCGCGGTCGGAACATTTCTGTTCCTATCTCACATTTTGAAACGACACCTTATCGGGTTTCGGCTCGACAACTTTCGAAGCGTTGAGGTACAAACCGCGGAGGTTTCAAATGACAAATTTTAGGGAGATTCAAAAACGGACAAATATCTGTGGATGTTATTTAAAACCAGCAAACGCAGATAGAATTGGGAGTTGCCTCTACCATTATTTGTTTCGATGAGTCAAAATAAACACGTGTCCAACTTTACGAAAAGGAGAAAAATAGGCAATAGATATCACCGAATGAATCCTATTGAAAAGTTGTCATCAGTTGAGAGGGACACTGGATCACCTCTGGATCTGAGAGTGGATCAATACTACAAAGCAAAAGTATCGATCCAAAGCCCAGGTTCAGATTGATTCTGACTTTATGGAGAAAAACTTGGGCGCCATGGGAAAATGCAACTAGTGGTGGGTTTTTACATCCAAACATAGTGTTGTCGTGTATAGACCAAATGTTTCGGTGACTGTATGAAAATGTGGCGAAAAAGCGAGTATGTTCAAATAAAACAGCAACCCGGGTTGAACATTGGGTGTTTCAACTTTTCGACAGTTCATCAGCGGTTTCACCCGCCCACTTCGGGTTCATCAGCCAGGCGAGTTTTCCTTAGGTTCTATTTGAACTCAAAGTGTGCAGAATTAGCACTCATTTGTACCCCAGTTTAGCTTTTATTAGGGGCAAACTGAGCTGAATTCCAGCTGAATCCCTCGCGTATGCGCGTGTATGCTTGAATTGGTGGATCGTGACCATATCGACGGATGAGTCTTTGCACAAGACCTGTACAATAATGTCAGAGAATGGCTTTTTATTCAGATTGCTGACGGGCTTTCGGCGACCGTACGTGGTTGGACTGGAAGCTGATTGGTTCAGCCACTGCGTTTGACGCAGGCACCACATCACTGGAGTTCGAAACTAAGACGCCATGATGACTTCCACGTGAAAACAGATCTTGATCCAATGCATGTAGATCGATAGCTGATTGACGTCCGAATTTTATGCCTGAGCTGCAACTGCCCGTAACTGAAGCAGCCTGGCTGTGTCTGGTCGCACTGCAACTAGCCAATCATCTGTGACTTCGTGACACTGCCCCACTTCACCAGCCAATCAAACTAACGACTCTGCATTCTGACTGACCAATCAGTCCGTTCTTTTAAATACACCGCGCACAAATGTCCAATAAGAGGCAAACCCTCGAAAACCTTGTGGTCCGTAGATGGCTCAGTGTTTAGAGCGCAAATTCGCTGACCGGAAGGTCAGCTTGCTTTTAGGTAGAACATCGTCTCAGCGCTTTTTTTCGGGTCACCTGTTTACTACCTCCGAACGACGGCTTGTCAAATAGGGCGATGGTATGGTGTCACTTTTGCGCCATTTGCATCCGAATGGTACGGTTTTTTGCTGCTAGCCGGTGAACAGCAGTAACCATAATTTCATGAGATAACCTTCAGTGCCGACTCCACAAAAAGGGCGAATTCCTGACTTTATGTCAAACGCAAATCCACCTACAAAATGAAACTACTTATGAGCTGATCAGTCAAGCAGTAGGTGGCGGTTGGGTCCTTGAAAAGGATTAGATTGTATCAGTAGCGCGACAGATAAATCAGTCTTGTGGTAAATATGATTCTACAAATATAGTCGGTGGGTATGATCGGCGCGGTATAATCCCACATGTTTTGGGTTTCGAAAAATCTCCGGTACATTGGGACGATTATTCTTGACATCTTTGAGTAGAAAACTGTCAGTACTGAGCTCTTGGATCATTCAACATTTTCCAATGGTTGAGTAGATCTCTTATCTCCAGACAGTTGATGATAGAACAATCTCGACGGATGCCCTCACTTGCAAGTCGAGAGGCTCAACTAAATCGTTCGTTCATGATATTCCACAGATGAATGTGCTACACACAGCCTGCCTCGTGTTTCAGTTGGCACGATATTCGAGATATCGCAGCATGTTTTCATCAACGAAACTACTCACAAGGTTGCTGAGAACTCTTCGACAGCCCACGACTGGCTTCGCTCATTCAAACCGGGCTCATCAGGTAGGCGCGGTCCCCGAGATTCCGTCAACCTGATGTTCTACTTGAGCCCAAATTGAACTGATTCAAGTAGAACGTAAGGTTGAGAAAAACTCAGAGGAAACTCTTAGAGCGAAACCGGTTCTGGGCTGTCGGAGAAGTTTCAGCAACCTTATGAGTAGTGCATCACCAGTATATACATGTATCGCGATATCTCGAATATCGAAGCGATTAAAACATGAGGCGGCCTGGTGCAGCACATTCAGTTGCCTGGAGACATCACAAACGAGGGAATCATTTGGGTTCCAGGTGAGTCTCTCACAAAACCAAATTCCTTTTGCAAAAGAGTGCATATCTCCAATTTCGGGTTCAAGTAGACCAAAACTCGGAGACAGCGCCTACCTGATGCTCTCCACGAAGGGCTGTCAAAGAGATCTCAGCAACCTTATGAGCAATTTCCCACATGTGGATAACACGATCTGTTGAGAACGGCGAAACTCCAGGGCGAATAATCACCGCTCGAGCAGCTGTTCGGTTCAAACTATTGACGGTGGTGGACGATAGCAATAAACTTTCATTACACTCGTTTAGATCATAATTAATTAGATCCGGTGGAAAGCGACCGGAGTTTTCGAAATGCGAATGATTAAACTGATTTATCGGCGTGCGGGAGGGGGGTAGACTGATTGAAAAACGAACAACGAACGTCTCAGACGGACCCACCTCAACCCATGCACTCATCGGCATCACCAGCACTGCCAGACTGATATCCGCTCCAGCCAAACTGACAATAAAATAATTCGTGGCCGTGTGCAAGTTAGCCTCGCGAATGACACTCAGTACGACCAGCATATTCCCAAAGACGGTCACCAGCGGGAAGATGAAGAGAATCAGTGCCCAGTACTGGTAAGAATGTGGCACGCTGACTGTCGTATTGGGAGATGGGGATGTAGGCACGAATTCTGTGGTCCATATGACCGTGTGAAACGTTTGATTCATGTTGGCCTGAAGCCGGTGAGCTTCCTCGGCTGTGATGGGATAGGAGAACCCTTGTGTGAACAGCGCGGGAAACGCACCGGTTATCTGCGCTTCGTCCAGTCGTTCCACCGCTTCCATGAGGAAATTTCACAAGGAATCTGAAAGATCAAACAATCAACAACAAAAAACGGTGATTGGAGTTTCGTTTGAATTCCTGACATCATACATACTACTTATTTGTAAATACGTCCACAAACAAAGCGCTAATTTACAGGGCTTGGAAGTTATCAAAGCCTGAATTTCTCAACCAAAATGAAGCCTTTCTAAAGATTGTGCATTAGGGATTATAATTGTACCAATACTTCGTCAGGTGTACGTTTCCCTAGCTTAATCAGGAACAAAATAATCGAGGAAATTCCAATCGACCGACTGGAGAAGTTGACAGTTTTCAAGTGCCGCCGCTTCTGGACGTTGTTATTACGTAAACAGCCCTTAGTAACCAAGAGTCACGTAGAATGTGTGCGTCGTATTTCCAAGTGAATGGGGGTTATATCATTGCTGTTTTGCTGAACGAAAAAAACATCAGACTGGGCTACGTGCCATCTGTGTTGTGTTTAATTGTATTGAGGCTGGGCTTGAAAAGGATGTTCTGCCTGCCAGAACAAAAAAAGGAAAACGTGAGTCAGGGTGGATATGCACGTATTACTATGAATATATACCATAAAATGTGTCGCAAAAGAGCGTTTTCTGTTTATAACAGTTACAGGATTAATCGATAAGAAATCATCCTGCGGTCGCACCCTATCGTTGCCTAGCTGCCATGCCACCCGGAGGAAGCACGAGGGCTGGAATACTGCCAGGTTGCCCAAGACTAGACAGGGGAAGTCGAGAGGCAGAGATCGGGTTCGAACCACGGACCTTCCGGTCAGTAAATTCGTGCTCTAACCACTTGAGCCATCTCTCCCTTACAGGATTAATGAAAGTTCGCAAATACAACTTTGTACACAAATGACGACAGCCGTTCTTCGGCAGTTCGATCCTACTGCTTTTCAATCAACTAGTTCCGAATATTTGAGCGATTTCAACGCTCAGGATAAATCCACAGTTCAAGTGCGGGTCATTCCGTAGAGTAATTTTTGTTTCCCTTTGCATTAAAATCTGTCATAAATGCAAGATCTAAGTAAATTTCAACATGATCAGTGTTGAATCTAACTTGACCTTATGATAATTCCCCCATTCATTTGCTTACTCCGCCTGTGTACTTTTGATCTCCAGTTGTTTTGCTTATCATTACCCGCCATCGACCTCCGCGCAGAGGCCGTCCTTTCCGACACTCGCGATTATGTGAATGTGTGCTGCTGACCTACTTACCCATGTGCGTTCACGACCCGCTTGCTGAGCCTGCCTTGACCTGTTTTCTCATGGGTTCCGCGTGATCGAACGTTCAGTGAGAATCACGAGACCGCCGTCGGAAGGAACGACCGCAACCCACGCTACTGAGCCGCCATCATTCCGCTCGCCGTTGTTTGGTGAGCGGCGGACGTTGACACTGCACTGTGCCGGTCAGTGACAGACCTGTGAACTTGTTGACGCTACGAACGTGATCAGCTGAGGTTTGTTGTACACATTTGCCTACCCTTGTGTGAACAGTACTGTAGAATTACGAACCCAATTCTTCCTTTTGATATTCGGGATTGTCGAAACTACGCGTCACTCAAATTTCCGTATCGGGAACCAAAACAACAGTTGGCGCTCAAAATTTTGTCTCATGAGTCTGCTGAAGAGAATTCGACAGACCCGTACCGCGCATCAAATATCGTGATCCCCTNTGATCCCCTAACCGCTCTTCGATCAACCCCATTTTCTAATTGAACTCAAACTGTACGAAATTCGCGAACTACGTTCACTTGCGCAAACCCACGGGTTTTACCGGCAGGCTCAACTGACTTTACTTCAAAGGACCGTCGAATGTGTAAATAAGTAAATTTCGCAAACTGCGTCAAATTTGGGCTCGACTAGAATGAGGTCGATAAAGGTGTGTATCCGATGCCTTCGAAGAGGGAGGAAAGCGGTCCTGGGCTGTCGGAGACTGTCCAATAACGTTCCAAGTCAAGTTTCTCCAGGAAAACACTCTAATCTCTCAAATATCGTACCAACTGACACATGATATGGCCTTTGTGCGGTACACTTAGGTGATCCTACGAATTTCCGGTTAAAACTAAATTGGTGTATAAATGAGCGTAGTTGCTGAAATCACGTGACATCAGAAGATGTTTTGTGGTTGAGTGGGCCTCGTTCACCCTCTGAAAGGACAGCATAAGGATGTTTTTTCTTGCAAATCACCAAAAATACTTCTTTTTCAGAGAAACAAAACAGTGCAATCGAAGAAGTGACGTTGTTGTTGGGAGTTCCCGGGCATGGCACATATATCAAAACAAGTAACTAATCAAGGGATCGTCTAGCGAAGACTCAGAGTAACATCACAGGAACGGGGAAAACGCTGGGTGGGCCGAATTGGAGAACAGTGTTTACGAATTTGCATAGTTCAATAATTTCCCCATAATATTGACAAGTTTTTTAGTTATACTGGCTAGCAGAATCCGTATCACATCCGGAAAATATCTTTTTTGCGTTCTTTTGTTAGACCCTGGTTGGTTAGAAGAGCAACTCTGCGCGACGTTCCCGATAAGCAGGGTACTGTATTTGGTACGTGCTTCTTTATTGAGCAGTTTTTTGCGATTCCGTGGGAACAACAAAACCGGGGAACTCTGGAGTCCCACTAAGTCGTCTCAACTACTTCAATAGCGTAATTTTTTCGCCGTTCTTAAGGGCCCAGGAAGGCGGAACACGTGATTTGAATAAAGCAGTGTATAAATCATTCTTCCCCATTATACCCAAATACAGAATGAAATCCAGAGGTCAGTGCACAGTCGATACCGACTAAATCGATAGTCTATTATTTACTTGAAGGTTGACACTGCTGAATTAGCACTACTGTACAGACTAAGAACGGACCAATCAGATCGGAGAATGGAAAGTAGAAATCGCAGCGCAAATCTCGAACGAGCCGATTGGACCATGTGAATGGCATATATCGATTGACCAACCACACGAGAGGATACTAGATACTCTTTGACAACTGTAAGAACGCAGAAAGGTAGCGAATTATTACTCACTCAGCTGCACACTAAAGATGTTTCCTCAATTGGAGACGAAACGTCTGCAAGCTTACTGTCGAGTTCGGCCAACAGATCAGCTGATCAGCTCCTTAGTTTACGAGAAAAATTAGCCATTATAACTCGAATTCTCACTACAATGACCACAAGCCTGAGAACATGGAAAAGGTTCTGCCCAAATCAGCACTGACAACTGCCAGTCTGTCTTCCAGCCCAGATGAAATGCGAGTGCCGTGTACTGGGCCGGGTTGTCCAATCTCGAGATTGACAATCGCTGTCAATCCATTTGACACAAATGTGACATCTGATATCGCCCACTGAGTTTCGAATGACAGCTAAACAAGTAAGGGGGTTTTCAGGAATGTCTATAGTCCAGTTAATGTCTACAGAACAGAGCTTCGTGGTCTGATAGAAAGGCGTGATTGACTCGTTTCGGAGAGAAAGTATCTTCTGCGGTTGGCACAGTTTTAGAGGGAGTGTTTTGGAAACGTTTTTCGATCGTTTTTCGGTCACGTTTGTGCGATAAACGTGACTAAAATGTTTTGAATTTCGTCTCGTGAGTGAGGTTAACCTATTCTGAACAGTTGAAAAGCACTGTACATCCTTACAAGGAATCGTCCGCGCCGTGCAGCTCGCGAAACTTAAAGCAATTACGAACCCGCGACATCCCAGTTAGTAGTCTGAACACCTAACCATTCGGACAAGAGTGGCCGATCAGCAGAGTGCTTAACTCTCTCTCCGCTCATCCTCCAATCAGGGAACCCACATCACCTGGTCCTGTGTGTTGACTGGCTAACGTGTGGTTATTCTCAGTGAGTTCACTACGGCTTCTCCTAACTGTTGAGAATAGATCCACTTTCGGCCCTTCGATTTTATCCCCCCGTCGCGTCACCCGGTAATTTTTTTCCTAAACCCAATGAAAACGTCCTCACCTCGGAAGAAAATCGTTCAGTTGTAACACTTTTTCGGTGCCTAACTGGCATGCCACCCGAAGGTTGCATGAGGGCTGGGATACTCCCGGGTTGCCCAAGCCTAGACAGAGGAAATCGAGAGGCACAGGTCGCGTTCGAACCACAAACCTTTCTCGCATTGGAGAGAAACTGCTTAGATTAAGCGGGTATCATGGAACCTTGTCTGGTTCCTAAGGTCCACCTACGTGTGACCACTCAAATCTTTCGAGCAACACTACCGAAAAAAGAGTGGAAAAGGCCATCTTTGTTTGCCTGCATGGAGTTATGCTAGGATCTGCAATATCAAGAGCTCGATCACAACGGTAGAACTGTTCATCAAAACCTTCGTCTGGCCACAAACCCGATTCTTTCATCGCCACAATCTTGTTTGAACTGCTCATCGGTCGAGTGAGGTCTGTCGCGCGTTTGCTGAGTATAGTCTCGAGGTTCTGTGCACTTGAGGCGAATTTATTGATTTTTGTCCTGTTTTTCGAAAACGTGTTCTGCCCGACTGTACGCCAACGACATCACCAATGTTTATCAAGTCTTCGCTCAAGCCCATAAAATCGTTTCTCAATGGTTTGTCTACGTAGAACAGTTATCAACTCCAACAGGGTAGTAGTGACCAGGATCATTCATTCTCAAATGCTATCGCATTCAATATATGCCCACATTTTACCCCGCAAAAATTTAAATCTAAAGTTTGTTGTCATAGGATAGATTCGGAAAATGTGGACATCCTGAGACGAGGTTAAGATTCACACCACATCGACTGGTGGTCGAGGCGGTGGAAATCGCCAAGCATCCCAGCGTGAATAGAATAGCGGGGGTAGAACTTGCAAACGTGTCGAGAGCGGTCTTAGATCAGTCAAGATGACACGAGGCGGTGTGTAGGTGTCAGTGAAATGTTCTGGGTCTAGAAGTACACAACCCAAGTAGAGTTAGATCTACCCCCACCTCCATCCCCAAACCGATGGTCCCGGCGCCCTTGACAAACACAGGTGA